ACTGATACAAGTAAGGGAAGCAGGTGTTGAGTAGGACTGGCTCCAGAGCTTAAGTCTCTAGGGAGTGAACAACCAGATCTGAACATGGCTATATTGCTTAGTACTTCCTTAACTGTGTCTCATTCTACTTGAGACTTTCTCCATGTCCATCACTTTGAGGGGAAAGAGAAAACATTTCTGAAATTATTAAGAGGAAAATCTTGCATAATTATGAGAATCTTTAGTTACCATTGCCTGTCCTTACCAATTCTAGTACCTTATGTTAGGAATCTTTACAGTGTCTGGTTTTCAGACCCTGAAATGTAATGAGCTTATAAATCGTCAGTATTAATTAATTAGAGATAGGAAAATAAGCTGGTGTGCTTTTGAAACATCTTTACCAAAATTATCATTAAATATTCTTAACTGTGGCATTTACAATTCTTCCTCCAGAAGCAAAGAATGGAGCAGTGAATACCTAGGTACTAACTGTGGCATTTACAATTCTTCCCCCAGAAGCAAAGAATGGAGCAGTGAATACCTAGGTACTAACTGTGGCATTTAAAATTCTTCCCCCAGAAGCAAAGAATGGAGCAGTGAATACCTAGGCACTAACTTGCACTCACCACATAACTAACATTTGTCCTGTTTTTCCCACTTCAGAGTCAGGTGTCCTGAGTCCACTCCTAAATGCAATCTCCTCAGTAACCACATCTGAGAAAAGCAACATGAATTTTACACAGTTAGGATCCAACAAAAGTTTATGCTTTTGTCATGCCTGTATACTCTCTTTCTACAACTCAATTTTCATGTTTTCTTATAACATTGAGTTTTAAGTATTCCTTTTTTTTTTTTGGCTTTTTGGTTTTTCGAGACAGGGTTTCTCTGTAGCTTTGGAGCCTGTCCTGGAACTAGCTCTTGTAGACCAGGCTGGTCTCGAACTCACAGAGATCCACCTGCCTCTGCCTCCCAAGAGCTGGGATTAAAGGAGTGCGCCACCACCGCCCGGCTTGAGTTTTAAGTATTCTTGATAGTTACTTAACAGAATGTCCTATCATCTGGATTTTTCTGATGTCTCATTATGACAAGAGGCAAATAATCATTTTTTTTTTGTCAAAAAATACTGTAAAAGTATGGCCACACGTTTCTTGCTGTATCCTTTCAGGTGGCGCATGTAGTCAAGCTGTTCATTTTTTAGTTATATTCCATTTGATGAGTTATCTAGCATAGAATACTGATCCTAGGTCTCTCTAGTTTCAAAGTGTCACTGTTCTTTATGCAATTAAAAAGTTATCAGTAGAGTGTTTTCCCACCATATCAATGGCCAACAGGGAAGTCATCCACTAGTGCTTACTCCAAGGACAGTAGCATTAAGACTTTCCTAATTCTCCCATTTCTTAAAGATTCATGTTCCCCATAAAGAACTTTAGAAAGTTTGGGGATTTACTTTGCATACTGATGAAGTTAACAGTCTTTTCATTGTCTGAGCATTCAGTTCAAAAGAGTTTAACTTACTGTGTGGCATTGGAGTTGTGGCCCTACAGGACCGTAATAGGAATCTGGGTGTTAGCACTGACAAAGAGTTAGCAAAATGAAGGAAAAAGTGATGACAATATGGAACCTTGGCTGAAATTAGGGTTTATTCTAGAATCTACTTAAAGCTTTAATTAGTTAAAAATAAGGTGTAAAATGTAGCTCCTCACTCATACTATGAGTGCTCAGTGACCGCATGTGGCCAGCAGGTGCTAATAACGACACTGCAGGTACAGAACACCGCAAAAAGTTCTGTTGTGTAGTGCTGACTTAGACTCTCAGGTTCCCCCATAACAAATTGTGAGCATCATGAGTCAAGATAAGATGGTTCTAATTTCCTAGGTCCACCATAAAATGTTCTGAATACAGTATTTTAGGCTCCGTTTGGAATTCTGGCCTGCCACATGGGTCTAATGCAAGTGGATGAGCCTCATTGGGATTTCTGTGCTTTGAGTGACAGTACATCAATCTTAGTCATTATAAGTAGTTACTTTAAAATAGAATCAATTTAAAGCTTTGCTGGAACTCAGGAGGCAGAGGCAGGAGGATTGACACAAGTTCAAAGTATAGTATACACAGTAAATTCCAGGTCAGGCAAGGCTAGCTACATAGGCTGCCCTGTACCCACAAACCAAAATGATTTTGTTAAACATTATTTTCTTCTTATAGTAAAGATTTGAGGTTAGCTAAATTTCCTCTGGCAGCTCTTATTACATTTAATTTTATTTTCCTCATATGGTCCAGTGTTCCCCGTGGGCCTCCTGTTTCATCCGGGCTGATATACATAAGTTTGCTTCACCAGAACTGATGCAGAAGCCTTTTAAGAAGCAAACTTCTTTCACGGTCTTAAGTGCAGAGAAGAGAGATTCTTAGTGGTAGATCTGAAGTGCCATATTCTTGGTTAGCAGCCTATCTGTCGTTCACCTGAGGATAACATGCCACCTGCTTTTCTGAGAGGCATCCAACAGTTCAGTCTCAGTAGATTTGTCTGGCACAAAGTATTTTTGTGCTGCTTCATAAGGTTTAATAGTATATTATTGCCCATTGGCCTTATAAATGCTACCATAGATACCTTATAGAACACCATCTAGGGGATGTTTCTGTATGGAATGTACATTAAAGGGCTCTAAAAACAGGTCAGAGTTGAAGAATAGCTAGGAGTTCCTAATGCGATCTTGCCTCCAGTTACTTCCATATATTAGATTATTTGCATGCCTTTACGGTCTTAGGTAACTTCTTTGGTTAGCTTTTGAGTCCCTGAAGTAGATGGTTTTCTTGTCAAAATATTGGTCTCTGAGATTTGATGTTCAAACATTACCAGATAAGGTCTAGTTGCAAGATCCCAGATGTCAGAATTCTCTGCCAGGAAATAGCCTCTAACATAGAGCAAAATCTGTGTAATTCAGTGCAAACAGCCCATCTAGTCCCAGGTTCACAGGGAAGAATCTGGTGCCAGGTCCAGTATTAAATTTTATCAAGTGTCCAGAACACTGCCTGGCCCTAAATGCAAATATTACTGTGTATGTGAATTCATCTTGTGGCTAAAACTTTGCCTCCAACAGAAAATGAGGTAGCTGCTTCCTTTTATTCTGTCCCCCTTGCCAAGGGCACAAGCGTGAGACAGGACAGAATAAAGGTCTGTCTGTGCTATCACTTACTTCTTAATTGCATGTAGTCTCTTTTCTCTAGAAAGATCCCAAGTGTTACAGGTGATGGGGAGGAATAAGAAAAGTAAGTATGTACTTAAGGCTTTGTATATCCAGCCCAGTATCTGCTTGCTGGACTAGGACAGCTTGTACTCGACAACAGAGCATCCCTCTTCAAGCTTAGAATGGCCTAATCTGCTGAAGACTTGATGTTCTATTACATTTTATGATGCTGTCCATATTTTTGAGATACTGGGAGGTTGAAAGGAGTACAGGATTTTCTTGGTGTCTATTTTTTCTCTCATGATCCATGTTATCTATGTTATTTGTGTCACATTTCTCTGTCTCAGAATTGTAAGTTATGATATAAATAGTTAACAGATGCATGCAACAATAGGTAGCATACGGCAAAGCTAAGACGACCGTCCTAGTGGTTCTCAGGAATTAATTGTAAGTGGATTTTTGCCACTTGGTCTTTTTTCTTTTATTTTCAGTTCTTTTCAAATGTGCATGTTTTCTCAGATGTGTGAGTTCTCTGTTCATCTTTGATAAAGAGAGTGTGGGGACACAAGGACAAAAGCATACCAGGACTCCAGTTGATAATACTGATCAAGATAGCATTGCGATACTTGTTAGGACAGGACAGCTTTTAGTGAGGATCACTGTGACTGACATAGAGTTCTACTGTGATGGGGTTTTGCAGTGTGAGAGAGTGATAGGAATTGATGGATGAAATTTGCCAAGAGGAAATATCAGGGATAAGTGGGTATTCTTGCTAAAGGCTGGCTGTGGAGATCAGATACCACTTGAGAGATGGCAGGAGCATCAGGTATTGAGAGGGACCAGATAACAAAGGTGGGAGTTCTAGCTAAACCAGCTTAAGGAGATTTTTGATAAAATTTAGTGATGTAAAGGGAAGAAGCCCAAAAGTTAGGTCCTAATTGGGAAGGTGATTAAAAAAAAACTGACTCAAATTTGGAAGAAGGAGAGATTCTATCATTATGCATACTAAAAATGTCAGGGAAAGGAGGCTTGGCAGATGGCTGTCAGTGAAGTGTTTGCTGTGCAAGTATAAGGATCTGAGTTTACTCTCCAGAACCTATGTCAAAAGCTGGATACAGTGGTACATGTTTCTAACCCCAGCACTGGGGAGATAGGCTTTGCTGAGCAGCCAGCATAACCTAATTTGTGATTTCTAGGCCAAACGAGAGTACCAATCTTGAAAAATAATGTGGCTGGCTCTGAACACCTAAGTTTGACTTCTGGCCTACCACACATACACAGATGTTTACACATGTACAAACATACACACAAGAGAGTTAGAATAAATATATTGATATCACTGCTGTATCTGTATCAGAAAATAAGATGTGGGATGGAGAAATGGGAAGATGGTAATAAAGAACCTGTAATAAATGGTAATGTAGAATCTTGGTGGCTCTGCAGGTGTTTACCACAAATTCCTCCCATGCTTCTTTGTATATCTGCCTAATTTCATAGTAAAATATTGTGGGCATCAAAGCAGTTCAGGGAAGAAGTGAGGAAGCAGCCAAGCAGAAGGGACCTAGGATTTAGTAGTAAGGACTGCTTGGTACAGGAAGGCAGGTGGAAAACTGCCAGCTTATTTCCCAGAGACCTTGCTAAGGGCATGTGTACTTATTATATCTCACTCTTTGGGATCTGCTTCCATGTGGACCTGACTTCTGCATGATGGCCTTTCTCTCCTTGAAGCTAACCACTCCTGCTTTGGGAAGATAGTCGCTGACTAAGCAAGCAAGGCTGCCATGGCCTAAGCTAATGTTTTCTGTTTTTCTCTTTGTCTTTTTCCCTGGTGACTTTTAGAGTTGGTGTTGACCCAGATCAAGACCCGCCACCTAACAATGACAGCTTTCAAGTCTTACAAGGGGTAAGTCACAAGTGGCTGTCTTCTGAGTAATATATGATTTGAAAATTACTAAAACCGAGCGTTTGCTCTCATGCTGTGCATTGTCGTCTTGACAACAATCTTTTAGGTTGCGGCCATAAATTCTGGTTTATAGGTTAGATGCTGAAAATTGAGTCTTAAGTGAGTTACCTAAGGCCAGATAACGAGAAAGTGGTGCATTTTGTAAGTGAAAAAGGCCAGGAACAGCTAACTACCGAGATGAGGAGATTCCATCTAGAGAGTTCTATACCTGTCAAAACAGCTCCATTCTCTGTTTCTCATTGCCTCTCCGTCTACACTCAAACACCTGCAAAAAGAATTAAATGAGGTGACTGGGTTGGTGTCATGCAGCATTGCTTACTGTATGTCTATTAAGACCTGCAGGCTGAAATATTAACAAGAGGTACAAGTCAACTTTGCTGGCAGTGTGGCCCCAGGAGTCCCCATCAAGTCTTGGGACATCTACTCAGGTGCATCCAGATGTTTGACATCTACCATAGGAAAGAACTTGAGACTGAGTCCAACTAAGTTAGCAGGTTTTGTCGATTGAGCAGAAAGGAGTCAAATGTGAATGGGAGGAGACAAATACAGTCAAGTGACTCAGGAATAGCTATGTGGGACTTGGTGGTTTTGAAACTGCTTCATCTGCAAATGAGCTTAGCTAATGGGGACAATATATAGTTGGATATTTAGTTATATTTTCCACAGAATTCTGACCTTGAAGTAGAAACTTCTTTGTAAATTTCATTGGCTTGCAGGTGGAGAAAGAGTAGAGAGAAAATAATCATCAAGGAATCCTTATACAGATAGGTCACAAAGGGATTAGACTTAGGTACATGCAATAAGTAATAAGGCACAATTTTAACAGTTCCATGTGTGAGAAACTGTATTCATTAAATCACTACTTGGCCCATTAGCACTAGTTTCTTATTGGCTAATTCTTACATCTTAATTTAACCCATTTCTATTAATCTGTGTATTGCCGTGTGATTGTGGCTTTCCTGCAAGATTCTAACCAACATCCGTCTCAGGCAGAAGATCCATGGCATCTCTCATTCTGCCCTTCTTCCTCCCAGCATTCAGTTCTGTTTTCCCTGCTTAGGATGGGAAAAGTGATCAGACTTCCAATGTGGTTTCCCAACTTCCTTGCTACGACTCAATCCCCACACAGAAAGGGCTTCCAATACATATTCCTTAGCTTTCTTGAAGCATACCATGGAACATTTAATGACCTTGAATAACGAGAGCAATCAGGGGCCTCTCATTTGTAGGTGAAACCCTAGGTTCTTGTTGTTTTTCCTGATGCACCTTCCATGCTAGGTGATGTCATGAAACTTGAAATAGAGGTGGGGGAAATCCAGATATTTGTCCTCTTCTAGAAAGGGTAGTTCTCTTTCTTTTCTTTTTCTTTCTTTCTTTCTTTCTTTCTTTCTTTCTTTCTTTCTTTCAGATTTCCGCCTCCTCCTCGCCACCGCCTCCCGTTTCCCTCCCCCTCCCCCAATCAAGTACCCCTCTCTTGTTAGCCCGAAGAGCAATCAGGGTTCCCTGCCCTGTGGGAAGTCCAAGGACCACCCACCTCCATCCAGGTCTAGTAAGGTGAGCATCCAAACTGCCTAGGCTCCTCTAAAGCCAGTACATGCAGTAGGATCAAAACCCAGTGCCATTGTTCTTGACTTCTCAGTAGTCCTCATTGTCCTCTATGTTCAGTGAGTCTGGTTTTATCCCAGGCTTTTTCAGACCCAGGCCAGCTGGCCTTGGTGAGTTCCCGATAGAACATCCCCATTGTCTCAGTGTGTGGGTGCACCCCTCGCGGTCCTGAGTTCCTGGCTTGTGCTCTCTCTCCTTCTGCTCCTGATTTGGACCTTGGGATTTCAGTCCGGTGCTGCAATGTGGGTCTCTGTCTCCTTTCATCGCTTGCTGAAGGTTAATATTCAGGAGGATGCCTATATGTTTTTCTTTGGGTTCTCCTTATTTAGTTTCTCTAGGATCACTAATTATAGGCTCAATGTCCTTTGTTTATGGCTACAAACCAAATATGAGTGAGTACATCCCATGTTCCTCTTTTTGGGTCTGGCTTACCTCACTCAGGATAGTGTTTTCTGTTTCCATCCATTTGCAAGCAAAATTCAAGGAGTCCTTGTTTTTTACTGCTGAGTAGTACTCTAATATGTATATATTCCATACTTTCTTCATCCATTCTTCCATTGAAGGGCATCTAGGTTGTTTCCAGGTTCTGGCTATTACAAACAATGCTGCTATGAACATAGTGGAGCATATACTTTTGTTGTATGATAGGGCATCTCTTGGGTATATTCCCAAGAGTGGTATTGCTGGGTTTAGGGGTAGGTTGATCCCGAATTTCCTGAGAAACTGCCACACTGCTTTCCAGAGTGGTTGCACAAGTTTGCATTCCCACCAGCAATGGATGAGTGTACCCCTTTCTCCACAACCTCTCCAGCAAAGGCTATCATTGGTGTTTTTGATTTTAGCCATTCTGACAGGTGTAAGATGGTATCTTAAAGTTGTCTTGATTTGCATTTCCCTGATCGCTAAGGAAGTTGAGCATGACCTTAAGTGTCTTTTGGCCATTTGAACTTCTGTTGAGAATTCTCTGTTCAGCTCAGTGCCCCATTTTATAATTGGGTTGATTAGCCTTTTACGGTCTAGTTTTTTTAGTTCTTTATGTATTTTGGAGAACAGACCTTTGTCAGTTGCGGGGTTGGTGAAGATCTTCTCCCAGTCAGTGGGTTGCCTTTTTGTCTTAGTGACAGTGTCCTTTGCTTTACAGAAGCTTCTCAATCTCAGGAGGTCCCATTAATTCAATGATGCCCTTAATGTCTGTGCTGCTGGGGTTATACATAGGAAGTGGTCTCCTGTGCCCATGTGTTGTAGAGTACTTCCCACTTTCTCTTCTATCAGGTTCAGTGTGTTCGGACTGTTATTGAAGTCTTTAAACCATCTGGAGTTGAGTTTTGTGCATGGTGATAGATATGGATCTATTTTCATTCTTCTACAGGTTGACATCCAGTTTTGCCAGCACAATTTGTTGAAGATGCTCTCTTCTTTCCATTGTATACTTTTAGCTCCTTTACCGAAAATCAGGTGTTCATAGGTTTGTGGGTTAATGTCAGGGTCATCTATTCGATTCCATTGGTCGACTTCTCTGTTTTTATGCCAATACCAAGCTGTTTTCATTACTGTAGCTCTGTAATAGAGTTTGAAGTCAGGGATGGTAATGCCTCCAGACGATCCTTTATTGTATAAGATCATTTTGGTTATCCTGGGTTTTTTTGTTTTTCAATGTAAAGTTGATTATTGTCTTCTCAAGGTCTGTGAAGAATTTTGATGAGGATTGCATTGAATCTATAGATTGCTTTTGGTAGAATTGCCATTTTTACTATGTTGATCCTCCCAATCCAAGAGCAAGGGAGATCCTTCCATTTTCTGGTGTCCTCTTCAATTTCTTTCTTCAGAGACTTAAAGTTCTGGGCTGGAGAAATGGCTCAAAGGGTAAGAGCATTGCCTGCTCTTCCAAAGGTCCTGAGTTCAATTCCCAGCAACCACATGGTGGCTCACAACCATCTATAATGAGGTCTGGTGCCCTCTTCTGGACTGCAGGCATACACACAGACAGAATATTGTATACATAATAAATAAATAAATAAATAAATATTAAAAAAGACTTAAAGTTCTTGTCAAATAGATCTTTTACTTCCTTGGTCAGAGTTACCCCAAGATATTTTATGCTATTTGTGGCTATCGTGAAAGGTGATGCTTCTCTGCTTCCTTATCCTTAGTGTATAGGAAGGCAACTGATTTCTTGGAGTTGATCTTGTATCCTGCCACATTACTAAAGATGTTTATCAGCTGTAGAAGTTCTTTGGTAGAGTTTTGGGGTCGCTTAAGTATACTATCATATCATCTGCAAATAAGGAAAGTTTAACTTCTTTCTTTCCAATATGAATCCCCTTGATCCCCTTATGTTGTCTTATTGCTATTGCTAGAACTTCAAGCACTATATTGAAGAGGTATGGAGAGAGTGGACAGCCTTGTCGTGTTCCTGATTTTAGTGGGATGGCTTTGAGTTTTTCTCTGTTTAATTTAATGTTAGCTGTCGGCTTGCTATAAATAGCTTTTATTATATTTAGGTATGACCCTTGTATCCCTAATCTCTCCAAGACCTTTATCATAAATGGATGTTGAATTTTGTCGAATGCTTTTTCAGCATCTAATGAAATGATCATATGATTTTTTTCTTTCAGTTTATTTATATGGTGGATTACATTGATAGATTTGCGTATGTTGAACCAGCCCTGCGTCTCTTGGTTGAAGCCTACCTGATCATAATGGATAATTTTTCTAATGTGTTCTTGGATTCGGTTTGCCAGTATTTTATTGAGAATTTTTGCGTCGATGTTCATGAGTGAGATAGGCCTGTAATTCTCTTTCTTGGTTGGGTCTTTGTGTGGTTTTGGTATTAGGGTAACTGTAGCTTCATAAAAGGAATTTGGCAATGACTCTTCTGTTTCTATATTGCGAAATACATTAAGGAGTATAGGTATTAGGTCTCTTGGAAGTTTTGGTAGAATTCTGCATTGAAACTATCTGGTCCTGGGCTTTTTTTGGAAGGGAGATTTTTGATAACAGTTTCTAATTCTTCGTGACTAACAGGTCTATTTAGATTGTTCACCTGGTCTTGGTTTAGCTTTGGTATATGGTACGTATCTAAAAAAAATGTCCATTTCTTTTGTATTTTCCAGTTTTGTGGCATACAGGCTTTTGTAGTAAGATCTAATGATTCTCTGAATTTCCTCTGTGTCTGTGGTTATGTCCCCCTTTTCATTTCTGATCTTATTTATTTGCGTGTTCTCTCTTTGTCGTTTAATTAGTTTGGATAGGGGTTTGTTGATCTTGTTGATTTTCTCTAAGAACCAACTTTTTGTTTCATTGATTCTTTGGACTGTTTTCTGTGTTTCTATTTT